AACGCATGTCAAAAAAGTTATAAATTGATTTGCATGTCAATGAGTGAAATAAGTATTTGACCCCTTCGACGTAGTACTTGGTGGCAAAACCCTTGTTGGCAATCCTTGTTGGCAATCACAGAGGTCAGACATATCTTGTAGTTGTCCACCAGGTTTGCACATTACTCAGCAGAGATTTTGTCCCACTCTTCTTTGCAGATCTTCTCCAAGTCATTAAGGTTTTGACGTTTGGTAACTCAAACCTTCAGCTCCCTCCACACATTTTCTATGGGATTAAGGTCTGGAGACTGGCTAGGCCACTCCAGGACCTTAATGTGCTTCTTCTTGAGCCACTTTTTTGTTACCTTGGCTGTGACATATGGTAACTCGAACCTTCAGCTCCCTCCACAAATTTTCTATGGGATTAAGGTCTGGAGACTGGCTAGGCCACTCCATGACCTTAATGTGCTCCTTCTTGAGCCACTTTTTTGTTACCTTGGCTGTGTGTTTTGGGTCATTGTCATGCTGGAATACCTATCCACAACCCATTTTCAATGCCCTGGCTGAGGGAAGGAGGTTCTAGACCAAGATTTGACGGTACGTGGCCCCGTCCATTGTCCTGTCCCCTTGGCAGAAAAACACCCACAAAGCATAATGTTTTCACCTCCATGTTTGATGGTGGGGATGGTATTCTTGGTTACATAGGCAGCATTCCTCCTCCTCCTCCAAACAAGTTGAGTTGAGGCCAAAGAGCTCGATTTTGGTCTCATCTCACCACAACACCCAGTTCTCCTCTGAATCATGAAGAAGTTCATTGCCAAACTTCAGGCGGACCTGTACATGTGCTTTCTTGAGCAGGGGGACCTTGCGGGCGCTGCAGGATTTCAGTTCTTCACGGCGTAGTGTGTTACCAATTGTTTCCTTGGTGACTATGGTCCCAGCTGCCTTGAGATCCTTAACAAGATCCTTTTGTGTAGTTCTGGGATGATTCCTCCCTGTTTTCATGATCATTGAAACTCCCCGAGGTGAGATCTTGCATGGAGCACCAGACCGAGGAAAACTGACAGTTATTTTGTGTTTCTTCCATTTGTGAATAATTGCACCAACTGTTCTCACCAAGCTGCTTGGCACTTGTCTTGTAGCCCATTCCAGCCTTGTGTAGGTCTACAATCTTGTCCCTGACATCCTTGGACAGCTCTTTGGACTTGGCCATGGTGGAGAGTTTGGAATCTGATTGATTGCTTCTGTGGACAGGTGTCTTTTATACAGGTAACGAGCTGAGATTAGGAGCACTCCCTTTAAGAGTGCTCCAAATCTCAGCACGTTACCTATATAAAAGACAGCTGGGAGCCAGAAATCTTGCTGATTGGTAGGGGATCAAATACTTATTTCACTCATTGACATGCAAATCAATTTAGAACTTTTTAGACATGCGTTTCTGGATTTATTTATTTTTGTTATTTTGTCTCTCACTGTTAAAATACACCTACCAATAAAATTATAGACTAATCATTTCTTTGTCAGTGGGCAAACATTCAAAATTAGCAGGGGATCAAATACTTTTTTCCCCTCACAGAATAAGCATCTCACACTCGCCATGTCTAGTATTTCTTTAGTGAATGAATATTATGTTGTACTGAGACATGATGGACTAGCATGTTTATTACATCATATATATAATTGCGCTACACCATCGAAATGTCATGCAACCCACCATTACTCAAGGTATATGATTTCATGCAATTTGTTTGTTTTTTTATGTCAATTGTTATTATTGTACTTGCTGTGGCATTGCAAGATTATTTGTACACTCATACACAGCAAAAATAAAATAAAAAAAATAAAAACAAGTATGTATAATAAAATATAATTTGAAAAAAAATTATACTAAAAAAAAAAAAAGTTATACTAAATAACATTGAAAAAAATAAAATAAGGCCCAAATGTACCTTAGTAAGCCAGGGAGGTGATACAGTTGCAGCTGTCTCCCTACTTCACACTATAAGCAACAGGTAAGGGCTGAAAAACAAACAACAAAAAAAACACATGGAGATCCCCTGGAGTACCTGTTTAATCAGGAGGAATCAGGAGTTAATATACTGACATAAGTCCTGATTGTGGGAGCCAGGTATTTATTTGGGGTTCTCAAGAACGCCTTACAAACTAGGGAAAACTGAGATATGCTTTCGCCACATCCAATGAAGGGTTAATAATAGCAAGTAGGATAACCAATCCTGTACCTCGTTTCCTTGCTGAATCAGCCATTTGGTCCCCAATTCCCTGGACCATATGTGGTTTTTTTTTTGGTTTTTTTTAATTACCATGACCATGTGGGTTTATATCCCTTAACAGTGTCCAAGCATAACAATTTAGTGTAAGAGACAAACGAAAGGCAAGCTAATTGGTTACAGATAGAATGTAGAATTAATGATAGATTACGAAATGTGCATGCATTATTATTACAACTACTTTGAATTAATAGTAATAAAATAATAACCAGAATCTATGTAGCTGACGTGCTCCCCTGCACTGTGCAATGAGCAAGATATGTCAGAAATTGCAGCAGGACAGGTTTGTTGTAATAAAGGAGCAGAAGAGACGGTGACAGCTTGTGAGGTTGCTGTGCATAAATAAAGAAATGAGAATACGACGTTTGTACATTTCTTCTCACATTATGTACTATTTGGCGGACATCATGCTGCATACGAATGTTGCTGGTAAAACATAGAGCCACATGTGCTAATCTCTGCACACACACGGATGGGTGCAGTGGTTTGTCCAATGAAGTAGAGCTCGGGGTGGGGGTTGTATTTAGGAAGTGAGGGAGTGTAAGAGGCGCTGAATGGATGCAAATGGAGACAGATGAAGGGGGAGAGGGGAGGGGGGACCGGCCAGCAGTCAGACAGGCTGGCGCCAGGAGACACCTGCGGGTCCTGAAACAATGGCAATGCCAGGTGAAGAATTCCTAAAACATCCCTCGGCCTCCCCCTGCTAATCACAGCTGATTACAGCTGCACAGACCCCCCTCCTCTATTGCTTTCTCTTTTACTCCTTCCTCACAAAAGGCAAGGGAATCCTATTATCTAGAAAGAAAGAAAGAAAAACCTGTAACTGCTGTATCCCAAGTAATAGGATCACAAGCCCCCTTTAACCCTGGGAATCCTAAACATTGATCTAGGGGCACTTAACCCGTTCAGTACCTCACATCAAACAGCACAGGAGTGGGGTCTGATTTCCAGTTTAGGATTCCAGCATTAACCCAGTGAGTGCTGGATGCCACACATCATTACTTAGACAGGGCTTAATGAAGGGCTATGTGTTAGCATGAGGCACTGACATGGGGGTTAGATTAAGGTTCAGACACACAGGGTAAGGGCTAGGGATGGAGGGCTGATCATGATTAGCTAAAGTCAAACCACACACAGTGGATTTTGTGACCTGAGATTCCCTTAATATTTATATAGAATAGATGCAGGGATCATATATGTACATAGATGGACAGCTTTTCATTAGGCACATTGTTGTAAACAGGTTTTTAATTTTTTTAAAGGAGGACATTATTATTCGTTAATAATTTATACACTTTAACTTCTCAGGCCCACATTTAATTAACTGAGAAACCTTTACCCTAAATAGTTTTTGGTGTAGGAACATGTGGAAAAGGCAGAGAATAAATAGTTTAATCCTCGAAAAATGCCTGGAATGTTATGGGAGTCTAGAATAATGCAGATTGAGTAAATTCCAAGCAATGCCCTACATACTGTCTATAATTAACTTTATTTATAGTGGAATATTCCCATATGAATTGTGCCGGTTGCATTGTAAAAAACTGAATATTACAGTAGTTTAAGGTGGTGGTTATGGGAGAATATCAAGGTGTTTAATAGATAGTAAGTTCTTGTGACAAGCACATTATAATTCACTATATCCAAGTACAGAACAATATTCTGCATATGATAGTAATTCACCCTACAAAATAATGTTATGTAAGACCTGACCGTATGTACACGGGATGGCGATAAAACCACTTTAAAGTTTTATTTTTGCTACTAAATTTAAATGTTTTTACATTGCCCATAATATCGGTGATAGCAGCTACTGAAATACAGCTTTGTAATAAATGGCAAAATTATGCTGCTAATTGTAAATATATGGCCTGTAAATCCTTAATTTATCACACACAAATATATAAAGCAAAATAATGTTTCCGTAACTATCCCAGAGTTTGACAACAGGCATCATATTTTAGACTTAATACTGCATTGCTGCACATACTCTTAAAAATGGAAACTGTTTAAAACATATATATATATATATATATATATATATATATATATACACACACACACACTAACTTTCTTGGTGAAATTGTAATATATTCAAACCTCTCATTTTTCCAGCTTTATTTAATATATGCTAGGCCAGAGCTGTGAGGTCACTTCCAGTTTGGTGCCTTTTGACAAAGTCACCAAATTGCTCACTTTTTGGCTAGAGTGACTAGATGTAACTTTTAAAGTAAACAAATATAATCTGTAAATCTCTAAAGGCTACGTCCTTTCTGCCTTCCTTTGGCAAGGCAAGTGTTAATGGGCAACACATGAACTCTGTTAACAAAAAGGACTTCTATAGTTTATAACAGAGATTTGCAATAGTATAATAATAAAATAAAAAAAACACCTGATTGACTTAACGTACATTAACCCCCTTAACTGCTAGCATTAGAAGCCATGATTCCCCCGATACTCCTGACACAATAATGGCTTTTACCTGTTCAGTGCTCCAATCTCACCATATGGCAGATAGTTGTAACATTACCGGTTTATTGAGTACATGTATATTTAATAGGTATTATAGGTAGCTAGTTTAAACACTTTGAAGGCACCAATCAATGTTGGTAAGCCATTATATTGCCGAGTATTAAAACCAATGTATATTTATTGAACACAATGTAGTAGTGTAGTCATTTTTTTTTGCAGATTTGTAAATAGGTTTGCGTTTAAAATTACCATAAATAAACACGATTCAAATTATTTAAAAATAGGTTTTTATTATTTACATAGACAAAAATATCAACTTTTATAAAAAGTTTTTTTGTTTTAACCAATAGACATGTAGAAACTGTGCAGTTCCAGTACAATTTCTCTATTTTAGAGAGAGGGAATTTACTCTGAGGACATAACCACAGATTTAAGGCTTTTATGCCTGTACAAAATATAAAATGATTTTGTCCATGACAAAAAAGATATTCATTCTTTGTTTACAAAAAATATATATATACAGCTCATAACATTTTAAACGTCAATAGATATGGTCACCCTGGGCCTTAAAGGGTTAATATATCCGTTTAAAAAAAAAAAAAATTAGCTACCTTTTTTCAACAATAGTTATTCAAGTGGATAATAAAACACAGCAGATGTGGCTGAATTGATATTTGGTCCATAGTTTTAGGTAGGAATGGCACAATAAGTTTGCCATTATTGATCTGCTGAGCAATTTAAGAGTTAAAAAAATAAATAAAATGAAAATAAAAATCTCGAATGTTAAAGTATGATAAGATAAAAAATAATGGACATGAACATATATAGTTCACCCCAGCATAGAAGTTACAAATAATTTTGTTGACTGGTTTTAAAATTTGGGGTAGGAAAAAAAAAAAAGAAAAAACATCTTAAAGTGTGTTATTTATGTAAAAAAATATTGTAATTGAAAGTCTTTTAATATTTCTGGATCTTCAAGGGTTAAATTATTTCGCATGTCGAACTCATTTGCTTCATGGAAAAAAAACTTTTTTTTCTTCTTCAACGATTCTCTGCACCTGCAGAAAAAGAGATATGCAATGTATCAATGTGAGTCACACCAAGGGAGGGGGTCAGACTGACTGGCGCCTGGAAGGAAATCAGCTATGCCTTCAGGCCTGATAACATCTTGGCTCAGCTAATTGTGTGAGAGTGACAGAGAAAGCCAGCTTCCTGCTCTCAGCCATTTCATCACTTCTCCACTTAATTAGTAAACACTCAACTACTTTGAACATTAACATTCCTACATTAAAACAAGACCAATTACTAGACTACATTTCGTTTCTATGGGTTTATTCACTTAACAGAAACCTGTATATTTGCAAATCTAAGACCAGAATAGTCACTGGTCATCCATCTTGTTGTTTATGGCCTTAATATTGCAATCTTTTTCCCACTTCACTGTTTAGCCAATACGTTCTCTAAACTCCTGAATATGGTCTATCCAGTACAGAAATAGTTTACAATCACCACAGGTTCACCTATATAATCTCATTCTAGATTTAAACTATGCACAAACTGACCAGGAATTAAACTTTAAACACATGCTTACCATGATGAGGGTGGGGAGGTTGATCAGTGGCAGATGCTGGCATCGCTTTTATTTGACCTCTCTGAGAATTCAGCTTTCTGTAACAGAAAACAAAAGGTGGTGGTGGTTAGGATTGTATGACGGTATTGGTCAGAAAAGAGAAAGTGTCAAGGTTCCAAAAGTGAGAAAATGAGATTAAGGGGATAGATAATAAAAGGTGTGGAGGGCAGGTGATAGTGCCTTGTCATAAAAAGGGCATCAGTGAGGAACAGTTGATAAGAATCCCAGATCATGGAATACAGACGTAGAGCACATGGATAGATATCATAGATTATCTAGCTAGATAGATAGATACCTGTAGACTGAGAATAGCGTTGCCCACGTTATGTTGTTTCTCTTCACCCAGGACAATTTGTAAGTCGAAGATATAGTCAATGACGTGCTGGAGGATCTCGACTTGACTTAGTTTGCTCCCCTGGGGGATCCCTGGCACCAGCTCTCTGAGTTTGGAGTAGCAGTCATTCATGTCATATAGAAGACCAACGGGCTCATCCACTCCTGAAACCTTGTGGGTGCTGCCCCTGGCAATGCCCAGGCTCTGCTCAGACAAGCAGCAGACAGCTTGATAGCAGCTGGCCATGGATCTCACTGGGCTGATGGCTTTCATAGTTGGTGGTGATATTCTGCTTTTCCTAGCTTAAAATAAGTCGGCTGTTTCTTTAATTCGAATGTGTTACCGCTGGCTCTTCAAGAATAGATCTTTCAGTCAGTCGATACAGAGCAAATAGCACTCAGAATGTCCAGATGTGTCAACGTGAGTCTTGAAAGTTCTGAAGTCCAAATCAGAGGCGTGTGATTCAGTAGCAGATAATTTATCGATGAGGAGCTTTCTAAATGAGCGTGTGCTTGACAGTACTAGGCACTCACCTCACAGCCCTTTTTATAGGCCCTCTCCAGCACTCCCTCCCACAAGCAAATCAGCCCTCCCTCCTTATCCCCCACTGCTTCATAATATTGCGATAACAGCTGGTTGAACACTTTCAAACAGCTTATCCTAAGGGCTGGAGAGTGTCATTAATGTCACAGAAAGAGGGACAGGGGGAGGTGGGTGGAGACTGATCCCTTACATGGCTTTGTATGTGTCTGAAAGCATTTTAATACAAGGGGAAAATGCTCATTTAGAGTCATGTATTTTTTTTTTCCGTGAGAATATAAAGTATGTCAATTGGTTTCTAAACAAGATTACGATTAGAATGATTTGTTTTCTTGTGTGTGAATAATTAACGATGTCGTTAAGTTTAAACACATTAATAATACACATAATGTAAAGAATATTAGGTTAATGAAAGCCAAAAAAAGGAGGAAGGCTAATGGAATATGACTCTGTTTTAAGTCTAAAAATACAAATGCATTTTTAAACAATTAGTTTTTTGTTGTAATACATTGGTGTGTGTGTGAAAACCTATATATATGTGTGTGTGTGTATATATATATATATATATATATATATATATATATACACACACACACATATATAGTTTTTTTGTTTTTTTTGCTTTAAACATGCTGGATGTGTTCTCCTCAGTTGTTTCTAATCCATGTTTTCTAAAGTGTAAAATCCATTATTCTTTATTTTTTTTTCTCTCTACCCCCCTTCTCCCCCTCCTCCTCTCCCTCTCTGACCTCCAGACTTTCTGGCGTCTGGAATATTATCCTGTGACCAGGCAGGGAAAAGGCTGGGAACTGAATGAGCAAAACAGACTGACTACCTATATTATTCTTGGGATTAAATGTTTATCGTGTAAAGTGTGTGTGTGTGTGTGTGTATATATAAAAACACACACACAAACATATATTTAACACGATAAAACTTGTATATAAGTTTTACAGTATAAACATTTAATCTCAAAAATAATATAGGTATTTGCTACAATACAGGGCTACTAACCAGTTAGAGAGGTGTGTGTGTGTGTGTGTGTGTGTGTGTGTGTATATATATATATATATATATATATATTAGATATGTATATCTTCAAGTTGGTGTGTGTATGTTTGACACGCTATATAAATTAGATATAGTTACAGACATAGTGTGAGTTATTTGACTTTAAGTTAGTTTGTATTTGCGAGTAATAGCACATATACATTTTGGGTTAATACATTATAATCGTGTTAAGTATAACATTCCATTATTGCTTAACGTAGGAAAGAATGAAACAGCAGCAATAAGAGTTGCCATTGTTGTAATCCATACATATTTATTGTCTTTATGCTATGTAAACAATGCATACTGTATATGTGCCTGTGTGTTCATGATTACATGTTCACATTGCACTTTGTCCCACACACCCCTTCTTTCCCCTCGCAGACAGCCTGGCGCCAGTCCGTGACGTCACATCGCTGCTCCCCCTCCCTCCCGGGGACGCGTCTCCACTGGCAACCGTTCCACTGCAGAAAAGCCAACAAGAAGGAGCGATGGGGGCGTGGCCTCTGTCAAACAGCTGCAGCTGTGTAACTATGCTTAAACGGGCAACAGCGCCAGCAAGCTCCCAGGCAATCAGGCCTTCAGGCTCATTTAAAGCGGCTGCCGCCACTCAGCATACACACCTTTGCATACATACCCAGCTGCATATACAGACACTTAAGATGGGAGATTGTCAATACAGCTGTGTATTAAAGCTATGAGAATAATTTGTAATCCAGCTCAATAAACACACTGGTAGCAAAAAGTTTATCCTGCCACCCTTGGAAGAAACACAAATCCCTCTGAAATTGTAAATCTCACAATGCAAAAACTATAAATAACGCGTCCCAGTGGACTGAATATCCTAACAATTTTATATTTATACAAATCATATGCAGTGCACAAAAAAATCTTAAAATATACTCCTAACAAGATAAAAAATATAGTTAATTCATGTTTGAACCAACTTGAAGCCAGTGAGTACTATACCCGGCTACTAGCCAATTAGAGTTATCACAATGTGCGATAACCAACTTGTAGAGAAAAAAGGCAGCTATCACAACATGTGGCTACAAATTTATAGACAATTACTTATCGGAATATATGGCTACTCATTTGTGACTAACCGCACTTTGGGTCTACAATTGTAGCTGGCAAGCCAGTTATCACAATATGTGGCTACTAGTGTGTAGCCAGTCACCCAGACATTAAAATATGGAATGTTAAGTGGGCTCCAGGATATATGAAATAGTTTCCCGTTTCAGACAGCACCAACAAAAATTTACATCACAAAATTACTTATGGGATTGTTGGAGAAACTACCAAGGGGCTTGTTAATTTCATGCCAAAACAGTTGGACTGGAACTGTTACTTCTGCTGTTATAATGAATAACCCAATTAGTGATCCATTTCATTAAACAAAAAAAAAGTACTATGATGTGTGCAAAAACAGATATGCAAGTTGAAACACACCTGAGGGGTGCATAACTCCAATTTCAAGAGTTACTAGGGCAGGATTCTTGCTCAACAAGTGTGTCAGTCAAGATAAATTAGGTGTTCCAGGTGTTAGTATAAAATGTCTTTACATGTGTCTTGTAAATTGAATTTCTGTAGTTTAGTATTTTTCTACCCTTTTCTAACTGAATACCAGTGCATGTTTTCTAACATACCATTAAAACAAGCTTTCAAGTAAATTTTTGGGTCCTGGTCTATTAAATTCCTACCAGTGTGCTCTTCTCTGTGCTAAATAGAGTGACTATGTTTAACAGACCACTTTTTATATTGTATACCACCTATTGTGCATATTATAGAACCTAAACTATGCTATGAAATGGTAACTCACCATCTATAATACAAAAATGTCTGTTAAACATTCACAAATGAGCAGAACAAATATTTTTTCCCATTTTTAATATATATATTTTATTTATTCATTTATTTCTAAAATATTTTATCAGGAAGGATACATTGAGATTTCTCCCTTTTTAAGTATGTACTGGGTCAAGTATATACTTTCTGTTAATACTTTTCACATGTCCATGAATATGATAGAGGCTATTCACTGGTATTATCAGAAATACCCAATGGAATGTACAGCGCTACGGAATTTTTTGGCGCTATATAAATAATAAAATAATAATAATAATGCATAGACTCCACTCCTGGCTGAGGAATTACTATTATTATTATTGCCATTTATATAGCGCCAACAGATTCGGTGGGGCTTTACAATATTATTAGAGTGGGGATTTAGCTATAACCAGGACAATTACAAGAAAACTTACAGGAACGATAGGTTGAAGAGGGCCTGCTCAAACGAGCTTACAGTCTATAGGAGGTGGGGTATAAAACACATTAGGAACGGAAAAAACAATCAAATAAGGTGTGAGTGATGCAGAGCTGGAGAAGAGAGTAGTGCTGCCCTTTAGGAGAGAGGAAGAGACAGGTATGTGAGGTAGAGATTACTCTGGGAGGCCACAAAAGATGGGTTTTATGGCACTTCTTAAACGATTGGATTGAAGACAAGGGGAGAGTCTGATGGCAGCAGGCAGGCTGTTCCATAGGAAGGGAGTCGCCCGCGAGAAGTCTTGCAAGCGTGAGTTAGCCATACGGGTGCGAGCAGCGGACAGGAGAAGTTCACGGGCAGAGCGGAGAGAAGGGGCATACCTATGGATCTGTGGAGAGATATAAGAGGGGTTAGCACTTTGAATTGACTCCTATATGATACAGGAAGCCAATGTAAGGACTGACAGAGAGGTGAGGTGTGAGAGGACCGCCTAGAGAGGAAAATCAGTCTTGCGGCAGCATTCATTACAGACTGTAGCTGGGCAATACGGCTTTTGGGAAGACCAATCAGGAGAGGGTTACAATAATCCATGCTAGAGCATGGACAAGCTCCTTGGTAGCATCTTGCGTAAGAAAGGGGCGGATGCGGGCTATGGTTTTAAGATGGAATCTACAGGATTTGGCAACATAATGAATGTGAGACTCAAAGGTGAGGCCAGAATCAAGTATGACGCCAAGATATCGCGCTTACAAGGATGGACTTATGTGGGTACCACTAACTTGAAGGGAGAGCGAAAGAGGAGGATCAGTATTAGGAGGAGGAAAGACAAGGAGCTCAGTTTTAGAGAGATTGAGTTTCAGAAAGCAGAAGGACATTGTACTCTAGTGAGTTAGGAGGCTTGATAGAATATTCATTTTTAAATTTAGGAATCCCATTGGCGCCACCCAGATCGAAGACTAGAGATAGGGAAACTGAAAAACTTTAAAGAATATATCTAAATATGGAGAAATCAGCAAGAGCTTCCTTTTGAATGCTACAGCGGTTGATCAGATTTGTAATTTCTAGTATTCTGTATTATCATTCAACTGTGCTTTTAACACTTATTTGCTATTGAAAGCAGTACCTCTGTTAGAGCACATGTTTCAATCCTTATCTTAGTCACCAATATAAGCAAGTGTGACAAAAATATGTGAAATGTAATTACTTGTAAAATTAAGTAGTATTTCCTGTTTTCAGTGGCAGATGGTGAAGATTTTCAAGATTGTGGGGTGCCAGACTCTAACCATGATATTTGACTTCACCCCTATCCCTATGATACCCCATATTCTGACCTGCTGTACTTTCCCAACTTAATCTCATACACTCCACCTCTGAATCATGCTTTTTTCAATATCGTAATAGTAATATCAAAGGTGTATTTTTAATTTTTTATGTAAAATGTCAAGCTAATCCTAAAATGGAAACTATATCAATAGTCTTTGCAACTGCCTCTCGGTTTTAATTATTATTATTATTATTTTTTTTTTAATTATTGCAACAATATCTGGTGGGGCAAAGTTCCATTGGACAAGTTTCCACTATTCAAATTCATTCTATTGGCTGTAGACTGTCAAGAATGGTTTATTAGTATGGCAAAATGGGGTTCCTCCCTTTGGTGGTCAGACATTTGGCATCTCTCATATAAGTTTTGCTTACATTTAATAGTGCCTGCATATCATTTCATATTTTAGAGAGA